AAAGTAAACCAAAGAACTGGAATCAGTTTGGAAGCCTCCCCCCCCCACCAACTCTTCACCCTCTTTGCCTGGTGTCCCACTATCTGAGTAACTAGTTTTTAAAACAGTTATTGAGCGTTATGTGTTGGTTTCCACAGGGCAGTTGTTCTCTACCTTTGATTTTCATTCTTTCTTTGATACTAACAGAATCCTGTTCAACTAACTGTGAAGCGTAATTCTTTTCCTCTTAATTGTTGTTACCTATTGAAAAAACAATTAATGCAATAAACGGTCATTGAATACTTGCCCCATGAAAGAGGTTATGTTAGGGGTGTGAGAGTTGGAAGGATGAATAAGGACTAGTATATCCATTCAGTAAGTAAGAGCAAGGACACCGAAGTCAGAAAAACCACACTGTAAATTCTAGTTTTCCTGTACAGTAGCTGTGTGACCTTGATGAGTTACTACATCTTTCTAAGTTACAATTTTCTGTTCCATAAAAGGAGTTTAGCAATAGTGACTGCTTCTCAAGATTGTCATTGTAAAAGCACTTAATTCACTGTTTGGCTTAGAGTCAGTGATCAACACATATGGCTGATTTATAATAGTAAATCTTCAGAGCTGATGAAAGTGTACAGAGACTGATAGGAAGCCAAGAAACAGAACTAGGTGGATATTGGAAAGTAGAAAAATGCACAAACTATAAAACTATAGCAAAAGGAGAATAAACTGTCCTGGATAAACACTTTTCTTCATCATATTCTTGACCAGCTATGCCACACTCAAGAATTTCCTGAGCTATTGTAATTTTACCTCAAACCTTGAACAAAGTATGGTTTGAATCCAGAAGCAAGCTGTTTGATGATTCCTTAGAAACTAGGGGAAATATCTGTACATTGGTTCATCCAAGACGAGCAAGTTTTGTATTGAAGAAGATTATTAAATCTAATCATTTGAAAAGACATTCTACCATATTAAGAATTCTTCACTTAATAAGCATACATGTAAATGACACTGCTTGGGTGAATTGGAGGAGCAAGAACTGGCTAACTTCTTAAGAAATTTACTCCCTTATTTCTTCTTTTCCTGATCTTCAGCCTCTATAACCAACAAGAGCAGGGGTAACAGAAACTCCCAAATACAGGTTACCACTTTGTCATTTCACTTTTTTCTCAAAATGTTGTATCTGTAACAAAGTACTTCAATAAGAGTTAAAATAATGTCAGTCACAATCTTACCAATTTATGTTGCCCAATCAGTATCTTCATAATTAGGCTACATCAAGAGAAATATTTCCTTGTGTGAATATTAACAAATTATCCTCAAACTACAAAAAAAGCATTCAACAACTGTTGTACTTTGGCAGAAACCCTGTTCAGTTTCCAGATTTATACAATGCAGATATTTAAAATTTTATAGCTTCTCATTCCAGCAGAGTACATTCTTTGTTTGCTAGTAGGCGTTTGTCCATTCCTAACCTTCTTACTTTCAGAAAATAAATGACACATGTGACTTGAAAATTGAATCCATCTTGACTGAGAATGAAATAATAAAAATAGCTAATGTCTTTATCATCTCCTTAGCAAGCCTACAAGGCACAAGACTATTGCTGTCTCTATTTTGTAAGATGCATTATATCTTGCTAATCCTCAATAAATATGAAAAAGTTGTCATTTCACAGCTAAGAATTGACAAACCAGAACACATTTCTCATTTGAATAGACAAGATAAGCAGGTTGCCACCAGCACTGCCATCTCTGCCTTGGGGTGTGCTGTGTCCCAGGCAGACACTGTTGGTTCATTCTTAGGTCACAGCTATCTCATTTCTATTTATCTATTTCTGGAACAGGGCTCAGATTCACATTCCGGACTGCCTCCCGTCTTAGGGACCATTCTGCAACCTACCTTCCCTGACATAATTTAAAGAAACGAGCATACCGCACCCCCCTCCCCAATTAAACCATACCAGATGTAAATTTCTTGCCTGGAGAGTGAATTGAGAAATGAATGGGATTCATGAATATAAATTGAACTTTCCTTACACTTAGGTTTTCATCTTGAAATTGGAGAGTATTTGCTCCCCACATCAATCCTTATTTGCCTTAAGTGTGTTTACTGTGGGACCCCAGTGCGGAGCTGGTAGTCCATTGCTATGCATAACTGAATATTAAAGCTCAGAAATCATCAGGCAGAGGAGGCTGCGGAGGGAGACACTGCAGTGCAGCTGAGTCTGGGTTCACAGAGAGGAATCCTGCTCTTCTGGGCTCTCTGTCTTTATTGGGAGGGGGCCACCCAATCTCCTGGCTTTTTGTCTCCTTGAATGTTATTGGATGTTTGCTTCCTCTTCTTCCCAAGATGCTCTGATTGTATGATTGTCTTAACATCTCTATTATTTTCTCCTCACTGCCATTCTGGTATAGAGGCTGTGTAATAAATCCATCTCTTATTTTTCACCTCAGTTTACTTTTGAATGAAAGGACTCCGAGAAAGGATGTAAGGGTTCATTAAGCAAATACATAAATAATTTTGAGACATTGGGGCACCCCAGTTTCTGTTTCCTCTCTTGTCCTCTGTTCTCCTTTCCTCTTATCTCTTCGTTTGCTGAGTGGTTGTGTGTATTTTGCAAAAGATCCATTGAGGTCAACTGGGTCTTCACTATATTGTCACATGCAAGCCAAAAATAGTGAGATGTTTCTTTCATTTTTCAACCTGTACTTTGACTCTTTTGCCAGATATGACACTCTATGATAGTCACAATGTCGTGCACTTGACAGTGAGTTCACATTGCTTGCTGTTTGCTATAGGGTTAAGTGGAAAGATAGATTGTTGGTCATAAGTTTTAACCATACCAAGCTGTGAAAAAAAAAAAAAAAAAAAAATATATATATATATATATATATATATATATATATATATATAAATAAAATCACCCATGCTACAAAGCACTTGATGTGGTTTAGAACAATGTCATAATGAAATGGCAAAATAGCCTCATATTTTTTTCAGGGCATTTGGCTATTTGAAATAGAAAGGAAGATTTAGAATAAGAACCAATGAATTAACCAATTAACATTAATTTTGCAATCCATGTTTAAAGAATTTTTTCTCAAGTACCTCTGCATATGAGGGCTTCTAAGAGGTAGTTTTAGCAGGGATATGGCCTTAGTTGCATTTTTTTCCCAGAGTCTACTGATTTTTTTCTTTACTGTATAAACTGTAAACACTTTAGTTATATAGCACATTGGGTTGATACAATTAGACTTAAATAGGATGCTAAGCTTTGACTGTGTACTATGGTCAAAATGGAGCTAGAGGGAAGTTGGCCATTATCCTTAACCATACGATAGTACAAGGGTTTAAAATAACTCAGTAAGTCAAAACCTTTGTGAGAATGAATTCGGGCAATTAATGGTAATGTGAGATAAGGGGACACATAATGAAGGACAAAGGGTAAATCAAAGTGACCACTAGTTCTACCTCCCCATTGTAAATACAGACAAGATGTCCCCAAGTGTTGCCTTTCAGGTCTTCCATACTTCCATACAGGTCTTCCAATACAACCAGCCAGTCCCTAAGTTTTCCCTTTCAGGTATTCCATACTTAGGATACTGTGTTTCTAGCTCATTTGGTGGATTGAACCAGTCTCCTAATTCACTAACTACTTGCAAGCCATGTTTCCACAATATTTCTGGAAGGAATAAAAAAATATATTTTATATAACAAAGAAGAACAAAGTATTTTTTTCCTGTAAAGACTCTAATTTTATCCTGTTTTAATATTAAGTTAAGGTCCTCACATGAATTCAACATGTTATTTATTAATGTTGTATATTGCTTAGGTATTTTTTAACCTTGTGTTTCATTTTTAGAATCTGGTTGTAAAACTTAGCCCAATGTTTGTGTTAAAAAAAAAAAATTCTAGGATTGTAAAGATTCTCCTCTCTCAGAGGACTGTGTTAAGACAGCAGCTGTACTTATTCTCAATTATGCAGTATGGTGAATATTATAAGCTCTGGAAGCAAGAAGAAGGGACCCTATTCTAATATCTCTATCACCATGTCATTTTTACCTAAATCATAACTATCTTCCCAATATCTATAAACATACTTCACAGTTTCTGTAGATGAGAAGAAAAGAACTTGCCTCGAACACACAAGACGCTGAGTTCAATCTGCAGCACAACCAAAAAAGAAAAATGCATTTAAAACCACTCTGCAGCAATTAAAATAACTGAAACAAATCAATTCCAGTCCACTTTGAAAAGAAAGAAAAGAAAATTAATCACTGACCCACCCAGAAGGATACAAGCAGAAATTCTAAAGTGTTTTATTCTACATTATTAATGTAATTAGTACTTGGTCACTTATTGAGTATGTTTGACCAGAATTTTCTTCGAGGAGCTGGTGGTGAAGCAAAATGAAAGCATGGCACACCTTTTACCTTCTGTTGCCCTTTTGTCTAAGGCAGTGGATATTTATTTACTCATGATGGCAAGGTCATTCCATTCACTAAGACATGGAAAAACACAAGTGATCCAGAGTTAATAGGCTATTTGACAGTCTCTGTGTGAAATGAGATAATTACAGGAAAGTGGGATAGTAGGGGAATGAGTAAATTTAATTAAAAAAAAAACACTTGATAAACTGTGAATTTTCCAAATGTCATTGAAAACCTATATATATATATATATATATATATATGAAATGTAATTTATAGCAGCCAACTTATGTCAAGAGACCTCCGTCCTTTTGTCATGAGGAATTTACCTTCATCGCATGTACTCATGGGCTCATTCTGCATAACTATCAAAATGTCAGCAAACTTTTTGGATCTGTAATCTTGTCTACTCTTCAATGTAAAAAAAAATAAATTAAGGAAATTAACATCTGGATAATACATTCACGATAACAGAGATTGAGATGCTGAAGATGGCCTTGTGAATGAGTGTTCTTATTCCTTGGAACCTCGAGGTGTTCTTCCTGGCACCACCAGTTCAAAAGCTCACTTTTCTTTTCCTCACAGGTTATCAGCCAGTCTTGTCTGGACAGCAGGGATTCCAAGGCCTTATAGGAGTGCAACAACCACCACAGAGTCAGAGCGTGATGAGCAGCCAACAAGGAACTCCGGTGCAAAGCGTAATGGTCTCCTACCCAACCATGTCTTCTTATCAGGTGCACACCAGCTGTTTGGAAAACTGTGGATTACAAAGTAGTACTGGGCCAAAGTAGAAGCTGTGTGTACTTTCCTGTTTTGGGTAATTAGCTGGGTGGTAGGTGCTTGGCCTACTACTGTTGTTAGTTGACTTTGAATCAAGATTATAAAAGGCAAGTTGAAAATAGGAAACCTGTTTCTGTAATGGCAGGAATTTTGAATGCCCTGCTAAATTTGTTTCCATATTAACTTCCTATTCACGGAAGAAAATTCATTGAAGTTCTATTTGTGAAGACTTTGGGGTATTTTATTGAAATTTTACTTATTGGTAGAAAGTCCTCATGATGGATTTCCATTTTCGTATTTATTTTAAGAAATTTTATTTTACAATAATCTTAAGCTATGAGAGATTTTTAAATGATATCTCAGATTTACTTAAAGGGCACTTATGGGTTTAACAACTGCATTATACAGACTAAACCCAATTGTGTATTTCAAATGGGTTATGTACCCTATTGTGATTTATATCTTGAAATACACTGGAAATAGAAATTTGTATCCTGAAAAACACAGGAAAAAGTTAGTGCAATGCTTTAATCATTAAATTTAGCTGTACCCGTTTCTTCTGGTTCCATGGAACCTACCTTAGCCTATCAGGTACAAAGTCCCACTTATTATGGGAGACTCCATAAACTAAAGATATGCATGGCTTTCCAAGCTGAGAGATGTCCAGCATGAGAGATTCAGACTGTAGTACCGGGAGAACATCAACAAAGGAGGGAAGGAAGCTCAGAGCTAACACCCTATGAGCATCTACTGCATGCCAGACATTCTGTACCATTCCTGCAGTCCTTCAGTGGCTCTTTAAAGTAGGTATCCTTATCCAGTTGGATTAGGGAATCAGAGAAAATAAATTAATTTCCCCAAGTGAAATAGCTGGTAAATGGCAGAAGTTGGATCAGTGACTTGTAAAGTCTAACTCAAAAACTTGAGTAAGTTTCATGACACCATCTTACTCATTGACACATCAGAATAGCCTCTTCACATATGTTTCTTACTTGTGTCTTTCTCCAGGTGCCAATGACGCAAGGTTCTCAAGGACTGCCCCAGCAGTCCTACCAACAGCCAATCATGCTACCTAACCAGGCAGCTCAAGGGTCACTCCCGGCCACTGGAATGCCTGTTTACTGTAATGTTACACCGCCAAACCCTCAGAACAACCTTAGGCTGATTGGTCCACACTGCCCCTCCAGCACTGTCCCTGTGATGTCGGCCAGCTGCAGGACAAATTGTGCAAGTATGAGCAATGCCGGTTGGCAGGTCAAATTTTGAGAGGTCTGGCTGTGGTTTATTTCATCAGCTATTACTCATGGCCTTTAAGGGAAGAGGAGCAAGTTGGGAAGACTGGCTGAGGACTTAAGTATTCACTCAACACTCAAAAGATTGCTGCTGGTATTCTGTAAAAAATAAACAAAGACTAATACACACGTTAGCTGGTTAATGGTGCATATTTCTGTCATGTCTGCTAGGTATGCCTTTATAGCTTAGCTAGTGACATGAATTCATCGAGGTAAGATTTTCTCCTACCACTGAACACCACTGTGTAGATTATAATATCCCTCATTTGGATTAGTTTTGTACTTTGTGTTGAGTTTGTGATGCTAAAAGTATTTAAAAATTATATACTGAATCACATTGTACCAAAGCTGTAATGGAAAAGAAAAGAAGAATTGATGAATGGAAGGAATAATTTATATACATTATAGAGTTTTCTTTTTTTAATGCATATATACTGTATTGTAGTGTTTAATCAAAATAAAACTATTTGACCTTATGGAGTAAGGTCATGTTTTTACCACCAGTTTGATCCACTCTCTCTTTCAATATGTGTTTTTGATGTGTTGCTGTTATTCTCTTCAAAGACAATTTTATGAAAAGTACATGAACAAAAACATGTTCTAGGCATTTGCAGCTGAACTAGCATCACATTAGGAGGTGTTATAGGCAAACACTCAACCAACAGCAGTTTCTTGTCATAATACTATAGGGATCCTAAAGATAAGATTCATTCTTCAAGGTCACATTTTGAAGCATGTAACTTTCAAATGGTATTATAGCGCCATTGAATGTATGTAGCCAAACTTCACCAACTAGGAAACTCAGTGTCATTGGTAAGAGCGGCCCTGTAACAAGCCCTGTCTCCCTTCACTGGAGTTCTACCATGTACCTGGAAAATAAAATACCTTTGCTTAGGTGAAAATGAGAAGACACGCAGTCTATTTCCATCAGTTACATTGGACCATACAATGGAAAGTACCCCTGGTTTTGACAGTGAGCCAGTAACTCAAAAATGCTCATATTTGCCCCAGTACCAAGATCAAAACAGCAATGATTTACTCATAAAGATCTAGAACACTAGTGAAGACATTTAGAAGAAGGCTGTGGCTATCTGCTCCCAACCAGTTTAATTTCTTATAGATTCTTCAGGTAAAACTGAGTTATGATGACCTCTGAAAAGTTGTAGCAGAACTCTGAACCTTCTGAAAGATACTTAATTGGGAAATAAAACCTCACAGCTCTCACTTTACTCTCATAGCACAACGATTGACAGCTTTGTGTTTTATACTCCCTGCCCAGAGACCACTGTGACCAACAGCTGTGCACATCTGGAAAGTACATCTGGAAAATTCACATTGTTTTGTGTATTATCACACTCTCCATGTTAGATTTGCCATTTTCATGTTGTTTAGCTGTGTGGGGAGGCAAGCAGTTTAAAACTCTACTTAACAGATTCCCATCCCTTAATTTCATAGTATCATTTTCTTTTTTCCTTTAAAAGGGAACTTTTACAAATAATCGAATTACCTTCATTCCTTATAAAATTTGTCCCATTTTTCAAAATCTCAGTCTATTTATTTATTCATCATAAATCTGATCATGAAAAGTGTTATTAAAAAAGGATGTTCTATTTTTTTTAATTGAGCCATTAAACCAAGAGTTGACCTGAGGAAGGACAGTATGTTTGCACAAATATAATCTTCCCCTAATGGAAAGAGGGGTTTGGCTAACATGGATCATATATTCTCTTTTTGGCTTTCTGATCTTGGCTCTGATCTCAAACTCAATGATCCAAATATGAGATTGAATATTTATCTCTTTTTTGAATATTTATCTCCTCTCAATGAAATTCTGAGAAATTTTTGTCATTTTCTTTAATAATCCTTAGAATTTTGAGCTTTCTTTTTGATGGAAACAAACAAAAAAGTCAGGGCTTATTTACTTATTTATTTTTTGACCACTCTATCCCATGTGTGGTAATCTTTTATATTTAGACATTTAATATTGCAATAAATCCATTTGAATACTATTTTTGAACAGTCTTTCTTCCCTATTTTCAATAAATATTTACTTCTAATATTATGATATTCCAAATACTCCATTATTCCTTCAGTTATTTTCCATTAGAATATCTGAGGTGACTGTAGAAACATAAGTGTATTTGTAAAGCATTTTCAAACTTTATTCTTTAGAAAGCATTCAATTATTTTATTTTTGGCTAATAATTTTATCACATCATATTTTGAATTACAGATTATTCAGTTTATAATCTAATAGGTATATGGGTACTTAGATATATGAATACATAAATAGTTCCAGTTATCTCAATGATCTATAACTTCTACAGGAATATAAAAGAATGTTTTATGCATTCACTTATTCAGCAAAATGTCATTATATAGTAGATTATATCCTGATTATGTGGCACCATTCAAAACAAGGGTACAACTACATTTAAAACACTTAGATTTATTCTTGTAAACTTTCTCTTGGATAATCATTAATAGTTGGAACTAAATATTCTAACTAGGATGCCAATGAATTTAAGCTATGATCATGTTATTATTTTAAAATATTCCCATAGGGTGTGGGGTGGCCAAGACAGAATGTTACCCAGCTGTATAGAAATAAGTTGATGTCATTAATTATAAACATAGTTGGAAGAGTCAAATGAACAAAGTTGCAGGTCTACCTTCACCTGTGCCCCAGCACTTAGATCTCGGGCACCTAGATCAGTTATGAACCAAAAACAAAATATTGTAAATACCTCAACCTAAAAGTTGTAATTAAAGTGGATCTTTTGGGTTTGGTAGCCCAAGGATCACTTTATTTACAAATATTTTGTTTAAATATAGAATTTCTATTTTCTAAAATATTTTTCATGGAATATTCTTTCATTGGGATATTTATCATTTTAATATGAAGCAGACGATTCAAAGAGCAATTATAATTGAGAGACAGGGTTAATCAAGGTTAAACGATCTTTTTAAAAGCTATCTGGTTTCTGGAAACCTTTAATATATCACTTAATAGCATGAATTTCCAAAAAGGAGACATAATTGGCATAGTTTCTCAAAGTTATTAGAATAAAATATCCTTTGTTCACAGAATAAATTTAAAGCCTAATATGGTAAGGAACATTTCTTTAAAATTACAGCAGAAAATCCTAAACTAGTAGTACAGATTTAGTTTTTATTTTAAATTCAACAGTAACAGTGTTCTATATCAGAATGCAATGCCACAACACCACTTCTGGCTAGATCACTTTTTGGCAACTGCTCTATTATGCACTATTTCAGTATTTTCTCCATGGATATCTGAAGCTGAAGGGAATTGTCATAGTTCTAGGCTTTCTGTATCTTTATTTTTTTAATTTTTAGTATTGAAGAACTTGATGCATCCTATTATATAGTCATACAGGTATAAAGTGTATGGACATAGTTGTCTCTAATGACTCTAACACTCCATGTGAATGTTGAAGGAAACAAGAGTGATTTATTCATTAATTTGTTCAGTATGCTTTTATTGCATACTTAACTAATTTCAAGACTTTGAATCACAGTCTATGGAGTCTTTACTTTTAAGAAGCTCAGAAATTTTCAGGATAAATTATGTCAGTATATAAAAAGTAATTTAAAAGTTAGTCTAGGTCTCATCTGAAAAATAGCACAAAAGTAGGATTTGAGAGAAGGAAAAGATGTTTTCTGGATACAGTTTTATGAAGCTTTTGTTCTGCACCATGTGGAAAGATGGAATTGGGGCATGCAGAGATGGGTAGTCATGAGTGGGTCATAACCCTGACTAGAAAAAAATGCCTAAAATAAAAAGAAATAAATGCAGAAAAAAATCAAAATACAATACAAGAGAGTTGGATAGGAGGTGACTAGCTAGAATAAAGCTATGAGTCCTAAAAACCTCACAGTAACCCTGGTTAGCATGGATTTGAATGCCTGGCGGAGCTAAGAAGCAAGGAGTGGCTTATGAAAACTTTTGAACACAGGGTAATGTGATCACAGCTATGGCTCATAAAGAAGTGTATGCTTCAAAAAGTAGGATGGATTAGACTTGGAAAGGCTCTTTATTAAAATACTAGAGATGAACACAATAATAATTAAGATTTTCCAGTGAGCTATAGCTATAATTAACATTATTGGGATAAATCAGAAATGAGTTCTAGCTCTAGACTTTGCACATAGAAAAGCTTTAGAGATGCTTATCTTATTTTTCTCTCTTGGACATAACCTTTTGCATCAGAGCAAAAGCCCTATCTTAAGCTGCATCACAAAGCACAATAAGTAAAATCTCTCAGGGTAAAATAAGACAGCTGAATTTAGACACAGCAGGGGAGGCTGCCAAGGCTCCATCACAATGTATTTAGTATCGATATACAACATGCAATGAGAACTGATATCAACTCCCCATTCCCCCTTGTTAAAAAAAATGTGATAACACTTCTGTGTTACCACTTAATTTTTTTTTCCTGGATTCTTATGGATGCCACTGCTTCCACACAATTTGAGAACTATTTGCTTCTTCCCAGGCTATTGGATCTAAACTCCTCTTTACGTAGAAAGGTTGTTTTCTCTAGATGTTTCCCATTATTTCCCAATAGTTCTCAGCTTCAGTGTTTATTCCAAGTTCAAAAATTTTTATTTTTGCAGCCTCCAATCTTCCTTCTAAAAAGATTTGCTGCTATCAAATGTCATCGGGGCAAAAGATTCTTAACTTTTGGAGTTGGGTACTTGCTATTCTCAGTGCTGCGTTCACAGTAGAGGTGAGAGGCACCTGAAACTCTTCTTCTGCAGAGGAAAGTCACCTCTTGATCAGTATCCTAACTGGGAACTGATTCTTCTACTGGGCATGATGAGGCTTCCCCTAAAGATTAGCCATCTCCCTGTGAGCAGAAACCCCCGGAATGCTTTGATATTTGTATTTGTCATTTGGTTCATTTTACTGTGTTAGTCTATTTGGAATGGAAGAGAGAAGAGGTCACACACTAAACAAACTGAGGGAGATTTAAATCTGAATAAGGTTGAGTGCCCATCAGAATCCGATGGAAAGCCAAGGATGGAGGTCTAATGAAAGTTCATGATGGTGCTGTGCAGATGATACCCAGCCCAAGCCCAATTTGGCTGGAGAGCACCCTATTTAAGAGTCACTTTTGGAATGCCCGTGTCTCACCCCTTCAGTGTCTGGAGTACACAGGGGACACACAGAAGTTGAGAGTGGGGAGAACCACGGGGGTGGGAGAAGGTAAGACATAGATGTACAAAAGTTCTGGCATTCAAACAGGGCAGTTTTTGGTTAAGTTCTCAATCTTGCTCCCAGCTCAAGGATCCAGAGTTCTCACATAAATGGCCCAAAGAAATAGATCTGATACTGAAATGTAGGATACACCTAGTGTTGTATTGCTCACCCTGAACCTTAAAAGTTTTACTGTGTTCATAGCTTTGAAAACATCATGGTTTGTACTGCCATAATGCTACCATAAGGTCCTCTCTCCTCTTCTTCTTGTAGTTCTAT